TTGCTGTAGTACTGCTTCTTGTGCTAGATAGGAGGTACAAAAGAGGAAATAAATTCTGCCCTTCACTGTGAAAATAGTAAGTGAACACTACATGAGGAGGCATTAAAGAATAATACAACAGAGCAGATTGATATTCTTCCAGGCAAGGTTTTGCTAGAGTTTGACTGATTTGTTTTAATTAAAGTTTTTTGTATTGTTTTACCTCTCATGTCACTTGTCCACAGTAACTGCACAAAACTGGTACCTAGCAAGGCCCAGGTAAAGACAGGCTTTATTACTAGCAACAGACATGTTTAAAAAGCAACATTTTAATGTCTTGGTAGGGTCATAAAAGATTAGATGACAATAGAAGAACTTTTCTACTCCATTTTGCCAGTTTGTGCCATTAACAATTGTAAGCATTATTTATGTGATCATCAAACAGTAATGAAACAGTCATGATACTGTACCAACAATGCATTTAAAGCTATCCTTTGTTGGTTATTTACTTGGTGCTAGCATTTATTTCCACTGATGCCTTGTGTCCAGACGCTGATAAATAGAAGATACCTCTTAACTGATTCCATTCTACGTGGAGTAATAATTAATCTGCACCTTAATTAAATAGACTTGTGAAAAATTTCTTGAAGGATTTCATTTAAAGAGTCTGAAAATGTCCCCTGACTCCTGATGTGACTATAATTATTTTTTTTCTCTTCCTACATGTTTGTATTTGTAAACTAATAGACCTTTTGCTGCTTTGTGTTGATCATTTTAGTATGATGCATGTCTATAACCTGCTGCTTGGTCACATTTTATGCTTTAATATATGTTAGATTTGCTGATGAAGTCTGCCATGGCCAGCAGGATTACAGCCATGTTCAACAGGAACATCCCTAATGCAGGAATCTCTCACACTGTCCCCACTGGAGCTAATTATTGCAGGGCCTTTAATTTCTCTGCTTGTCTGTCCCACAACACTTATGAACAGCTGATGTTCATAATGCTGGCAACAAGACAAAGTATCAAGTTCTCTGGTATTTTATTTTTGGCATTTCCCTTTGTCTCCCCTCTTGTCTCTCTCAGCTTCTGTTGTTGCTGTAGCCCCTGAGGGATTCCTCAGCCTTGCCATTTAAGACTGAAGAACCACAAAATTGGGATCTTGACTGTGTGTAGCTTGTACTAAGCTTCCTCTTTGCAGTCTCTCTCTGAAAATAGAGCAGAAATCTTGGGATAGACATAGGTGTAATCATGAATACTGAGAATGAAAACACCATACAACTGATAACTTGCATATTTAAACAGCTTTGGAAGACAAACTAATGATATGCTGCTGATACCTGAGGAAAAGCAACTCAGGATAAACATAACCAGGATAAATGACCAGGAGAGAGAATAGCTCTGGAAAGAAACCTAAACAATAACTACATTCCTACACAGAAAATGCATTCCATAACAGTGTTTGTTTGGACTGGTTTTATATTTCTAAAATTATAGCTTATTACTGTATTCTTAGATTTCAGACTTTTTTAAAAAATACAGTGCTTAGATTTATACAGGATTTGTTTAGATACTTATAACAGTAACAGTTGCTTTATTAGTCATTTAGTTTTCTTTATAGACAAGAAGATACTCATTATTTTTTACAAGACAACAATTTTAACCTTTCTTAATAGAATACACAGGCTTGTAGTTTTGTCTTGGAGCAATAATTTAGTGACCTGCACTCTTGAGTCCCCATCTGAGAATCTTGATTTTTATCCTCATCTTTCATGAAGATATCTCAGCTGCTGAGGTATGATCTTTACCAACTGTATTCATTTACTAGAATATAGATTTTAAATAAATAAATATATAAAAGTATATATATATATTTGTAGGTGTGTTCAGGCTGTAGGTCTGGACTCTACCTTTTGCCAATAGATGCATGAAAATCAGATGCACATTTAAGTCCTAGGCTTAAGGATTCTGGGTTCATTTTGAAGTACAAGGCTTATAACATTATTGGTAATTTCTGTAAGGGATTAATATGGGAGAGCATGGAAACTTTTTAGGCATGTGTCCTTGCAAAAGAAAAGAAGGAATTTCAATAATTCTATTAAGAGTAATACAAAGAATATGACATGTTTTGTCACACTGCTGTTTCAGTCAATTTTGCACTGGAGTTGGTGCAAGTTTTGCCTGAATAGCTTATCTGCATCTCTAAATCTCTGAATTGGCTGTTTGGATGTACTTGAGTAAGAATAGCTCCTTGTAATACATTGACTTCTAAATTAGTGTCTCTAAGTGGGCACAAAGCATGGCAACCTTTCTGAAATCATGTGCTACAAAACAATTTTCAAGTACAGACAAGTCCTACATGAAGGATTTCAGGGCTGTGATCCCAGAGAGGCTCAATAAGCCTTGCAGAACTAAGTTCAGATCAGGACTAATAACTGATTGTTTTGGTTAAATTATTTTTAAAGTATCTGTCATGTATATACAATTTCTCCTCTGTTATTTGTATATACCTCAACTCTCAATTTTATAATCCCCTGGGAAGGGAGAGAGTTGTACATATTTAGCCTGAAGTGTTTTATGTTAGACTTTAATAAACTTGTTTTATAATTTTCCCTCACCTCGTGTCTCCTGTTTATAACTGCAAGGGGTAGCGACAAAAGCAGGAGGGAACCAGTCAGACACAACCCCTGGCACCACCCTGGCACGAGGACCATGGGGGTCCCTGGAGCACACAGTGGGATTTGGGGGACCTCTGCTGCACCCCTGCCCTGCTGGGTCAGTCACTTGCCTTCATTTGCTTCCCCTCTAAAACTGGGGGGGAAAATGCTGCCTTCCAGCAAGGCACAGTGAGGTCTAAAAGCAGAAAAAATGGTTTTCAGAGCAGGATTATTATTGCTTTAACTTCTGAATAACTCAGAAGAAAGTGGTAAAAAAAATCTAGCCTGTGTAAATTCTCTCATTCCAAAGAATACAAGATACATTTAAGAATTTCAAGGTCAGAGGATGGAAGAAATAAAAGTCTCTGGCACAGGCCTCTTTAAGCAATACAGGGTTTAGCACAAATAATTGTTTTAGTTTGCAGGACGCTGTTTATACAGGATTTGGTAGGAATTACTCTGCAGCCCTTTCTTACAAAGGAGTATCAATGAAAACTGTAACACATGAGCTGTTTTTATGGATATTGTCAGTAATGAAGAGGGCTTTAAGGGCTGAACGTGTTGCTGTTAAACAAGGGTTCAGATAGAGTGCAAGTACTTCAAACACATACACCAGCACTTTTAGATGCCATTTTACCTGATATATTTTGACTGTGATATTGTTGCTATCTTACCACATCACTAAAACCAAAATACTGCTGTTGGTAGAATCAGGTACCTGTTACCACCTCAGATTAAGAAATGGCATTCATACAAGTAAATAATTTGAACAGTGAAATTAGGCTGAACTTCATATACCTGACAAGGGAAAGAAAGATACATGGAAAAAATACCTGAGTCTTATAGGGGTGTTTCTAGCAAGAAATTGTCACCAGTGTGTCAGAGTCTGACACTATCAGAGTGTCATCTGCAATGATCCAGAGCAGCAACACTCAAAAGTACCAACATAGGCTTATTTAATTATTTCAAACTTTAGGAATGCTCATAGTGTGCAGCTTCTTCTCAAGCCACCGTGTTCAGTGTATCCCCAGCTTTATTTCTCGTTGCTGCATCCTTCCTGTTGAGCAAGAGCTGAAATGCAAGCTCCTCTCTAGAGCTGGGTGTTCACAGGGTGATGTACGGACTTTGTGCTCAACACGGTGAGCTCAGGCTGGCAGGGCCCTGTGCAGGTGTGCAGAACAAACATACCTGCCCTGGGCTTAGCTCTAAGTCCTCGCAGGATACCAGGGGCTCTTGGAGCAAGAGCCTGACTAATTTGTGTTTGGGGGTGGAGGCAATGAAAAAAAACCCAACAAACCAACCAAACAACAACAAACCTTCACCTGCATCAGCTCTCACAACTGCCCTGGTCATTTCAGCTGGGGAGGAGGTGTCTAAATGTCTTCCTGTTCCTGCACTACCACAGTGATAATACAGAGTCAGAGCAGCAAGCACTTACCCTGCTGCTTCCCAGCTATTTTTACTGAGATTACTTTCTTATATTTTTCCCCTCATGCTTTGATCTTGTACATACAGTCACAGATCATTCTGGTACTTTATGCTAATATTTAACAGGCACATTTAGAGGGACAAAAGGTTGCATTAATGAAAGGCTTTGGAGCAAACCTCTGCTGTTCTGTTTGGTGACTTTTTCTGTTTAGGAGCATAAGTTAAGTCACTTCTGCAAGGATGTGCAGAGTGAATGCAAAAAGGAAACTAGCAGAGTGATTCCCAAAGTTATACAAAGTCTGTCCAAACAGTTAAACAATGTTTAACTACTATTACATGCATATGTTGTCTTACTCATGTAGGAATTGCCACAGGGATATAATGATACAAATGTTTTTAGGGAGTTTTCATGAGATGAGAAGAAATGATAGCACCAGATTTGGTGGTGATTTCTATCTGTAGAAGAAGAAACAAGTATGTGCTACAATTTAATCAAAATTCTGTGTATATCCCAGCAAACTGGGTTCACCAGCTTTAAATTCTGGCATGGCTGTGGCTTAATGCTCAAGTTCACTTACCTTGGTTTAAAAGAAGTCACTATTGGAAGATCAAAAGGATGTAATTGATAAGGAAAATGAAAGAGAACAGGGAGAACAGCTCTAACAAATGGATTTACCCAAAGCTCTCAGCTTCAGCAGGAATCTGACTGCAGGATACCTGATCTGCTGCCCAGCAGCAGTCCTGGATGTTGCTTTTGCCCGTGTGCTCTGCCTGGGTACAAACCTTACCATAGTTACAGACTTTTAATAGATGGAGCACTATTTAGCAACAAATTTTGAGGTAATTTCTTTGATATTTTCTCTCTGTTGCCATTTCAAGCAGAGGTAGATTCCTCCTAGACTCAAACCCCAAAGAAACAACATGCAGCAAGTCTGATACTGATATAAACTATTTTACTAGACACCAAGTAGGGAAAGCTCAGGCTCAGGGATGCTGCCTCACTCACAAATACTCCGAGATAGGGAGGATGGCCAGGCTGGCGTTGGCGGCGTTGGGGGCCACGGTGGCGCAGCGTGGGGCCCAGTAGCGGTGCTTGCCCAGCCCGTGGGACATCTCTGCCAGGAAAACCTCGCCATCCACCTCGTAGGGAGCCACGTCTGTGCAGCCCTGCTCCAGGCGGCCCATCCCGATCAGCTCCGAGAATACCTGCGATGGAGAAAACCAGGAATTCGACACCTGCTGCTTCCTTTGGACCGCGGTGAACGCTCTGCAAGGCGACACGTGGCACTTAGTCCCTTCAGTGTGCTCATCTCCAGGGAGCCTCATTGCAGCACCGCCAGATTATAACCACATAAAACCCCCAAACAAAGCGGGTGTCTTGTTCACTAATTGCTGCAGTCCTCCCAGCAATGGAAAGCAAGTAAGAACAAACAAAACCCAGCCTTCTCAGGTGAGTTCAGAACAAACACTTACCACACGGGTGCTTTTATCAAATTTGTTGCCCCAGATGTAAATATGGGAAATTTTCATGTTGGATTGTATTGCATGTGCAAGTGCTAAAAGTCCTTTGCCAGTTATATTGTTGCTTACAACAGACAACCTAGAAAACAGAGAAAATGTGTTCCAAACCATCTCTTAGTTAAAAATAAGAATTTAACTATGATTTAGTCTTATTATTACATATATAATACATACCTAGAACTTTTTTATTTATAATATAATTATTTATTTGAATCAAAGCCAGTCCTACTCTAATATCCTTTTCAGGTAACCAAAGGCAGTTGGCCTCTGGACTTATTCCATTTCTCAAAGCACTTGCCTGACTCTTGCAGCCAGGTTGTTCACTACTGAGTTCTTCAGTGTCAGTGACTTTGCTGCATGGTGGCCAGGTCTCATCTCTAGTCTGCTTTGAAGCCCAAGCCTTGGCATTTATCCAGGCTAAGCTTTGATCTTTGTGGAGTGGCAGTTATTTTTATATTAGTGAACCTGCAAGGCTTTCAGAGGCACCTCACAGTCACCACCTCCTCAGTCTGCTACTTAGAACTAATGGCTTCAGGTAACACCTTTGATCAGCTTTTACATCCTGCCGGCAGGAGTTTAACGCGGCTGCCAAAGACCCTGATGGAGAGATTACAGCTCTTCTGGGTTCACCCGGAAGCGAACTTAAACAGAGGATTTTCTTAAGTGTTGAAGATCAGAACCAACAAATATAGTGCCTTATCCCAGCGTGGAATCTGATTATCTCAAAATTCTGAACATCTACAGCTCTTGTTTTTGTTTGTGTACCACAGGGACCTGCGCTTCAAAGACGCAGAAAGAATGAACAGATCAGTCGCCTCACCCCTCACCCTCTTAGAGGGACTGTGAAAGTTGTGAGAGCTCTGAGCACACCTGGGGCTCACCTCTAGCACCCCAGGGTGTCTCACAGGTCTTGGAGCATCTTACATGGCAGCAGACTAATGCTTAGTGAAGAAATCCCACCCAATCTCTCATGGGATTTTTTTCCCCCAAGAAGGAAAAATTGTCTAAAACATTTGGAGTTTCTTGACATTCCTATTTTGATCAACATGAAGACACAGAGCTGTGATGCCATTTCAGGCACTGCAAAGTCCAGGTTTCTCACCTGCAGTCTCTGGGGAAGCCAGTGCAAATACTTACACCTGCAGACTCCTGTTCCACGTTGACAAGGCCTCACTCAGGTAAATGGCTCCATCGTCTTCTATTCGGTTTGCATTAAGATCCAGGATCTCCAGGGTTTGGTTCTTTTTTAGTAGCTTTCCCAAAAATTTCACTCCATCACAGATTATGTTATTACTGAAAGAGAAGTGCACATTTTAATTTTTTTTTTTTATAAGTTGCTAAGAAAATGAGTTTTTAATGTGCCACATTTAATCACTCTCACCAGCTAAGGTCAAGGTATTTCAGGCTGGAGTTTCCATACAGGGCTTCACACAGTTGCTCTACACCAAAGCTTTTCATTTCATGCTTGCCCAAGTGTAGTTCCACAAGAGAAGAATTACTCCTCAACATCCGAGCTATATGAACTGTGGACTCTTCCTAGAAATATACACTCAATTTTATTAAGCTAGACTTTAGGATAAGATACAGTTGTGCTTCAGTAAAAGGGAGATACACAACTGACCGCAAGATCTGGTCATCAGTAGTGTTCTATTTTGTATATTGCATAAAAATAACCACAAAAGAGCTTATGATAAAGCTAAAAATGGAGAAAAGGAAAAAAAAGAGACTAAAAATACTATAGAGATATTTTCAGTTTTACAGTACTGTCTACACCCCTGCAAATATCAGTGAAGCATCAACATTTAATTATGTCTAATCAGTTTCCCTCCCTGCTATTGCTCTTAAAAAACCTGAATGCTTGAGTCAGTCTTTGCTAACATTTGAGAGCATTTTGTAATTATGCTAATTATTTCATACAAGAATGAATTGGTCTAAGTTTTACTTGATCTTGGAGATCTTTTCCAACTTTAAAGGTTCTGTTGATTATATGCAAAAGAAATAGGACTTCTATGGGAAAAATATGTCTTGCCACTCTAAGGCAAAGGAATTTTGTTCAAAGTTGTCCTGTTTAGTTAAGAAAATAACAGAGTGAATACTGTGAGTCAAAAATAAAGGAAAAGCTCAGAAACCTCAGAAAATAATAGAAGCTGAAGGTAGAAACAATGACAAATACAGTCTCTGACAGGTCCAGACCAGGTCCTTACTGTTACCAATAGCAGTAGTTTAAATCGACTTCCAAAGCTGGGGTTGGGCAGATCAAGCCCAGCCTTAGAAAAGAAACAACTAAAATCTGTTCAAACTGTTAAATTTATCTTTTGGAATTGAGGAGGATCTGGCTTTCATGACACTTTAATTTCGTTATCCTGCCATCAGGAAAACACTGATCCTGTCCCAGACACCTGAGAACTGCTGCCAGGCAGGTGACTCCACCTCTCTCCAGTTCTGCCAGCCATGCACTGAGTGAGACAGCAAAACCACTCAGCCCAGAGAGAGAATGTGAGAATTGCTGCAGTGTCTTTCTTCTTTAGGCTCAGGTAAAGAGCATCCTTTGTGCTCCCCCTCATTTCCTGCATGGCTCCCTCAGTCTGCTGAACATTACAGGAAACTCCATGTCCTAACAGCAGAAGGAATATTTGCTTCTCCAATACCAACTCCTCTCCATTAGCCCATTATTTAACAAATGTGACAACACAGAAATTTTTAAAAATTTTAAAAATTCTAGTTAAACCAGGGCAGAAAAACTGCACAAAACTTGGCACAGAAAGAGAAAATATTCCTGCAACCATTTTCTCCAGTTTGTAAGGAATTCCATGGAGCTGTGTAGTTCAGATGTCCATAAATACATCAGTACTGACTTGGCTTGTGCCCCTCTCTCTGAGCTGACTCCACAGTCACTCACATACCTGTTGGCTGGATAGCAAAGGACGATTTAGGTTTATGGCTTTGAGTGATTTGTTTTGAGTCAGGGCTATGGCTGTTGCTGTCAGACACTGCAGGCCCTGGAAATGAAAATAAATAAACTTTTTACAGAAACCTGTTCAGTGTATAGATCAAGCTACCAAATTACCATTACTATTATTTCTGCCTTCATCTACTCTAGAGGGATAGGACTAGGGCAGGCAACTGCTTACAGAGACATAACAGATTTTCTGATAATACCAATGCCAACTGCCTATGGAATATCAGACTGAAATTAGACTAAGCAGTACAAATGACTTGGCAACTCAGAAAATAAAAAGCAAGAATAATGGATCTAAAAAATACTTGTCCATTCAATTGATCCTACATTTTAAATTTCCTGATTTATGAGGCAAAATCAGCTTATGTGTGTTCCCCTAACATTTATCCACCAGGTAAATTCATATTTAGTATGAATTGGGCAAACTTTTATTTATTTATTTTAGTATCTTTCTAATTTTCCCTCTATTTCATATTTATGCTACTTTTCAATTAGGCTGGTCTACACATCTCATTTTAAACCAACTCTATCAACTCCCTACCAAGCACACACATACCAAGCTTTTGAATAAATCCTACACTGCCTACACTTTCCTTGTTCATGTATTCATAACACCTTCACACTTTCTGAGGGGTATTCCCCCTTCTGGCTCAGAAGCAAATTCTGAATTTCCAGGAGAAAAATGTAGGCTTTTAAAAGCAATCCACAGCCCCCTGAGTCTCCTGGAGCGCTGGGTTAGAAGTCTCAGTGCCCAGCTCTAGGAGGAACCTCATTGTCCAAGAGTAAGTTGGGTGCTTTTCTACTCAATTCAGCACTGTCCTTCATGGGTCAAGCTCTGAGAGGAGCAGTAAAGCTATGGAATGTGTGACTTTCAGGGGTTACAGCACTGCACACTTTTGAAGGAAAAGATTCTCCAGGGAATGAGAAGTCCATTCTTCAACAGGAATTATAAAGGACTTAGCTCAACAGAAAGGAACAGCAGGAAAAAAACCCTCAGAAAATGTGCAAGCCAAGCACCTGAATTCCTAGAGAAACACAGTAGCTCTAAAATATCCCCAGTTCTGACTTCACAGGTGCTTTATGCAATGTGCCTTTCCTTTTTTACAATATTATATATTGTGTTACCTCTAGCTGTCACAAAATCAATGACAACAGATGGCATTTCTCCCTAATTAAGCACTGCAGGACCCTTGTAATACCCTTGAAAGACTTATGTGTTATTGCTGATAATTTTACTGGGTTACTCACCACATCACAGTCTCCAAGATCCAACTTCTCTAAGGTTGAGTTAATTTTCAGCATCGAAGCAAAGAACATCCCACCTTGGTTTCCTATTTTGTTTCCAGTCATTCTCAGATGCACAAGACTTTGATTGCTCTAGACATAATTAAAAAAAAAAAATCCCTTTAAGATGGCCTGGAAAACAACACTGTTCTGGGTTTTTTTGTGTGAATTCTGCTGGCTGTCACACAGAGACAACACAACGTTCCAGAAGAATTGTGTCTAAGTGATAACACTGGCTCAGCTCTTGGTTCAGGCTCCCCTCAGTGACACCAAACATAAGAGTCTGCAAGCAAAACTCCTGTATTTGAAAACTTTTGTTTCTCCCAAGTTAATGAATTTCATCACACTCATGAAAATAATCCAGGCAAATATTTCTGCCTAAATTTGCATCTGAGATGCAAATTGCATTAACACTGATTTAAATCTGGTAAGCCTTGTGTGAGCCCAGCATTGTACATCTACTGCACAGCCTTAGTGTTTTGGAGGCCTGTCAAATTTAGTTGAAATCAATTCAGGGTTCAAAGATTGTGAAGGAGGAAGAAAGAGCTCATGTGAGTCTCCTTTCACAAACACAACAAATCTTACACACAAGCCTCATTTCCTTGGGAAACCACATTTAAAATAACAAACTTGGGTTTGTGGTGCTGCTGTAAGGCAAATTTTTGAAAACATGTTTCAGACATCTTGAATCAAGACAAATATTGATGTCAAAGTCCAGACAAATTTAATTTAATTTTTTGGGGAAAAAAAAAAAAAGGAAAAAATGATGGCATTATATATCCTGTAGCACAGCACTATTCACACGGAAAAACCCAGCTGCAATAGTTGTGCTTTTTATAGACAATTACGTCTTTTTATAGATAATTAAGTGTTAATGGCAGCACAGTGCAACTTTCTCTTGTGTGAAATCTGATTTCTGAAGTGTGCCTTGGGAAACCAGGCAATCTCTGTGACACAGCAACATGCTGAATGGAGCAAAGACAGAGGCCCCTTTCAGCCAGCTCTGATGTTGGCAGCACAACCAGTACTGGTCATCAAAAGCAAAAAATATCAAAGGAGATGCCATTGCCTAAATCTCCCAGGCAAATACTCACATGGAGTGCTCCTGCTATCAGCTCTGCCCCACTTGTGCCAATGTCATTGAACATCAGGTTCAGGTACCGCAGAGTGGAGTTTTCCTTGGGAACAAACAAAGCAGGAAGCAATGAGAGGTTTTTTCGATACAGCTGTATTTTCTAAAAAGGAGATACACATGCAAAACTCTGCCCTTTACAGCATTTCAGGCAGTTCATGAGTTGGAGAAGTAGTTAAAGAATGCCAAATTATGTCAGGTGATGAGGGCAAGACATAAAATCTGTCACAGGGAGGGCCCTCGTGGGGTCTCAGGAACCACCCAGAATCCCTGTGCATGAGGCAGCTGGTCAAGCTCAGATGCACAATTTCAGGCATTTTGTGAACCTAACAGTGCCCCTGAAATTCTAGGAACACAGGCACAGGGTGGCAACTCACTATTTTCCACCTGTATCCCAGTGTTTGCAAAGACAAAAAAGTTGCATTAGAATTCCTTATGTTTAGGCTTATAAAAAGGCTAACAGAGATTATAAAATAGCTGAAACAAAGGCCCTTGCACACTGGACACAACCATTATCCCCTTTGTTGAATTGAACTGTGAGCCTAAAAGCCTCGTAGTTTATTCCATCATTATTTCCTCAGGACAACCAGCCAAATATCCAAAGGTCTTCTACCAGAAATTAAAAATCTCCACAGAGAATACAATCTGAGGTTCTAATAGGATGGAATGGGATGTGATAGCCAAAGTTACTGGAATTTTGCCAAACCAGCTCATTTTTGTCCCCAGTACACCATATATAAATATTAATATAGACAAATAAATTGCAAGTTGCTGAAAGATAAACATCTCTTGGCACCTGGAGGAATGTTGCCATGGTCTTTGCTCCAGCATCAGTCAATAAATTATAGGCAAGATCCAAGCCTGAAAAAGATGAAGAGTAAGGAATGTGACAGATGAATATCTGCACTGAACTGATTTCTGAACAAAAAGAAACAAAGATGAATTAAGGCAGAAATCAAGACTGATCATGTTTTCTTGTATTAGCACAGCAATGTCAAACACACATGGAAAAACCTTACCTGTGACAAAGGTAGCTTGGCCTAAGACAGAGACAAGAACTCCAAGATCATCATCTGTCACTCTTGGCACAGGCACCAGATGATTATTTCCAGCTAATTTTAATGTGATTCCTTTTGTACTTCTGCAGAAACATAAAAATGTAAGCACATGGGGAGAAGTAAATGATAGAGAGAAATGAATTCTCCCTCCAGATCAGAGGTGTGCCCATGCCTGTCCTCACTGGAGCTCTTGCACAGGATTATCTGCTGCCACTCCTTTTGTAACACCACGACAGATGATGTGATCCAAGCACTGATGTGATCAAAACCTAACACAAACCATTTCATTTCCTTAGTTTTTTCCCCCCAAAAGACAATTAACTTTGATCCCAGCATTGTCCATGAGAAGAAGCAGTACCCAGACCCTTAATGAGAGAGAATTTGGGTGGTTAATAGCTTGGCAGGATCCAGAGGCAGCTCAGGGAAGCATGACCAGCTGGAAGGTAACTGGATGCAGCTGAGGCTTTTTGAACAGGAGTGAGACACAAAGAAAAGAGTTAGGATGACTAAACCCAGGGTTTGGCTTCTTTAGGGGACAGAAAGGCACCATCCTGTACATTTTTCACTTTTTTTGATTTCACTGCTTGTAAAGCTGCCCAGAAAGGATATATAGCTACAAACTTCTGCCAAGATGATGTCAAGATGAGTCAAACCAGAACTTCAGCAGCAAATGTTAAACTTGATTTGTGTTTAAGCCTGAAACTGCATGAACTTTCTCATTTTTCAATTCCTCATCTTGCTACCCCGTTTAAGGCTTTCAGAAGCATCTGAAACACCCCGTTTGTTATTTCCTTACATTTCATCATTTTTATCAGCTTCTTGAAGCACACGAGCAATGAAGGGGTTTTCAGGCTGGCTCAAATTTTGACAGGTCTGCACATAATGCAGGTGAAGATCTGGAAGAACCGACATGGCCTGCTGGAAAACAAAACCAAGTGTTACTGCATCGTTTTGGCAGCCTAGCAACCAGGAGGGATCTGAATAACAATATAAATGGGCTCGGTCTGGAAAGGATTACAACTCGTGGTTTGGAGTAACAGATACAGGAAAAGCATGAGGGGAAACGGTGGGTGTGTTTTTGATGTGCCATAGTTGGTTAGAGCACAGTGCTAATAACACCAAGGCAGGCCATTCACTTCAGAGTTGAACTAGATTATTCTTGTGGGTCCCTTCCAGCTCAGCATATTCTGTAATAAACTCAGAGATAAAATATCTGAGCTAACAGAGAGGCGATCCCTTCTGAGCCCCGCAGGCCTTACCTGAGCAGTGACCACCTCTCCCCTGTCCCCAGCTCAGCCAGCGGTGACCGGCCCGGGGTCAGTTCGGTAACCGGGCTGCTCCGAGCTGAGCTCGGTAACGGAGCCCGCTCCCCAGCAGGGTGTCCCGGAGCCCATTCCCCAGCAGGGTGTCCCGGAGCCCATTCCCCAGCAGGGTGTCCCGGGGCCCGCTCCCCAGCAGGGTGTCCCGGAGCCCGCTCCCCAGCAGGGTGTCCCGGAGCCATTCCCCAGCAGGGTGTCCCGGAGCCATTCCCCAGCAGGGTGTCCAGGAGCCATTCCCCAGCAGGGTGTCCAGGAGCCCATTCCCCAGCAGGGTGTCCAGGAGCCATTCCCCAGCAGGGTGTCCAGGAGCCATTCCCCAGCAGGGTGTCCAGGAGCCCGTTCCCCAGCAGGGTGTCCCGGGCCGGCAGCAGGAGGGAGCGGGCGGGGGTTGCCAGGAGCCCCCGGTGCTGCCCAGACCTGCGGACGGGGCAGGGCAGGCTCCTCACCACGCCCCAGAGCACGGAGTTGGTCTCCGAGGAGCCTTTGCAAAGCTGTCCATGGTTACACGGATCAGCTGCTCCTTCAGATTCCTGCGCTGGCCTTTTCCAGCAAATAAATCCCTCTGGTGATTTCACCACTGCCCTCCGAGGCAGGAGGGGATGGGCTCCGTTTTCCTGTACTGCAGCACTGCCAGGAGCTGTCTGTGCTGGGTCTGTCTTGTAATCTCCTGCACAAACTTCCCCCAGGTTCGAAGAATCTCCCTGACACGAGGACGCTCAGACTGTCTGGACAGCCTGGAGGAGATCCCACAGCAGCCCTGCTTCCCTTTCCCATGTTTATGTGAGGAACACCACATTACACACTGCACCTGTATCCCCCACCAGGGTAATCAGAGTCAGGACGCTTGATCTGAACGAAAAACGCTTTGATGCTATTACTAAAAGAATGTGCGCTATGAAAAATGTATTTGTTCCTTTGTTTTAATTTTTGTTTGGTTGATACCTCCCTTTTGCACAATCCAAGTTCTCCATTAGGAGCCAAGTGTCACCTTTCCCTTCCACAGTGAGAAGGGACACTCCACTGGTACACACCCGAGCCCGGGTTCCTCATTATTGCTGGCATCTCAGTATTCAGGCACAGAGAAAAAAGCAAGAATGTGGAAACACTGACCTTTGTGTTGAATCATAAAGATGGAATCCTGACTGGAGGGATTGCTGCAGTTTTTCACGTATTTTCTTTCTGTGTACACTGGAAAACAAAAGCTGCATTTGCACAGAATCAATATGTCACAAAGTGAGCAAAGGGCAATTTAAAAATGGATGTGATATTGTTAATGTCTTTAACTCCATGAACACTTGCTGTTCATTTGATAATGACCAATTATGCACCCTTGGGTTATGGTAAGTGTAAGAGTATTCATAGACATCCTCATTTTAGGACTCAGAATACATCTTCCTTTTGATATAATGCAATGCTTTTATTCCAAAGGGTTGTTTTTTTTTTCCACTGGTGCAGTTTTCCTCTTGAAGGTTACATTTACAGAAGTAGTAATTTATGCAAAAGACTCGCTTTCAGATTTCAATAATTTAAATTGCTCTCCCCTGCACTGTGCATACAAAGGAAATGAAGAAGCAGACTAATGTTTCTACTAAGAAATAAAATTAAACCCATAAGAAATCTTTCCAGCACAGGAAACAACATAGATGTCTTTGCCAAAATTTCCACCATACTGTGAGGTATAATGTGACATTAATGAGCAGAATATTCTGTGTTCATCTATCAACAGTAATGCAGCTCCACAGAATTTTCTTAGGAGATTTCTTTCCTAAAAACAAAATCCCAAAGATTACTATTTAATTGACATAATATATCTTTTTAATGACTGTGTCTAGATACCTGTGGAGGTGAAGGAACTGAAAATTTTAAATGCCTTAGCCTTTCTGAAAATAAATTCAGTATCTTTCCAAAGGAGATCTTTCTCCTGGAGTCATTAGAAAAATTATAGTTGAGACAAGATAAGGGAATTAAATGTCTGCCAGAAGACATAAGCAAATTGCAGGCAGGAGCAATAGAAGGGGCAAAATCTTGTTCTGCTGCAACATGGAAATTCCATGGACTCCAGCTGCTCCCAAATGCAGGACTAAAGAGACTCATAATCTCTTTAGATACCTGCTGCAGCATCAGGTCAGAAGTGTCAGAACAGGAATAATATCAAAGCTCAGCATTTAAAACTTATGTTATCTCTCTGTGTTTAGTAATGATCCCAACAATGTCACAGTTTATAAACCTTACTTATGCCCTTTGCCTCCAGGAATGAGCAGCACCTTGTTTAGAAATATGGAGTGGGATTCTAAACAGGCAGAACACACATTTCTACCAGGACCTGCATTCCCATCCTGTCTTACAGAGGTGTAAAAAGCTGTTTGAAAGTATCTCCACACTTTTGCAAATCTGTTCACTGATGTTTTGACAATCTGCAGTTACTGCACTTTGAATGACTGCAAGCTGTCACTTCCTTAGTGGTACTGCTCATCTCTGAGGTGGCTTGGTGACAGTTTTGGATTGTCTGTGTATGACAGGCTTATTTGAAAGCCATGGGTCTGCAGGATGCATTTTCTGCCATAATTCTGGCTCTGACACTACATAACACCTTTGTTATTAAAAAGAACCATGACAAACATAATATTGCTATAATTTTTGCATGCCAAATTTATATGCAACCATGTTTTTCCATGGCACTTGAGAGGCAGACAGCTGTTTGTCCTAGACACACAATGTCCTTGTCTAGTTTTTATTCTGTATTGCTCAGCTACCCCTTAAAACCCTGAGTTTCATTTGCAGTGTACACAGAGCATTGAGCTGGACTGGAGCCAGACACTGTGCAGGTTCAAAATGCAGAGTGGGTGGGAGCAGAACCCTTTGTTTAGTTTAGCTGGCTGGTCAGAACTGCAGTCCTGCTCTCCCTCCCCTTGCCTCAGGGAAGGTGGTGCACCCTGAGGCAGTTGATGAGGGCAGGGTCTCTGAGACCAGCTCTTCCCAGAGTTCCATCTCCAGACAGTGCTCGCTGAATCTGCATCCAGGGTATGAAACTCATTTCTGTTTGGCTCTTGCTTGATACTGAAATCTCATTAATATGCTCATTGGCAGGAGAGAGCTGGGACTGCAGCAAAGTGGGACGGCTCTGTTCTGATTTTCCATTTCACTGGGTAACTGAGGCTGTTTTGATTGTTTTGAAATGTCTAATGAAATTTTTTCACCCTAAGTGAAGGCAAAGAGGAACAGAGAGAAAGATGAATCAGAAACTGCCAAGGAGGAAATCATTGGATGAGAGATTTCTGGGCAGATTGGCAGATTGACAAGACATTTAGTAGAGGTGATAAAAGGAACAAAGTGGCACAACTGGCATGACAGAGGACAAAGGACTGAACAAGGGGATCCAGAGCAGGGGAGAGTTTGCCAACAGTGGGTCTGTCCTGTGCTCTAGAGCAAAGAATGGGGAATCCAGCTATGAAAGAACAAGAAACCCCAACACTGAAGTTGAATTCAGTTAGAAATACTTCAACAGAAAGTGGACATTAAAGGTAAAGTGGAGAGAGAGATTCAAGTGGGAAAGGATTAATTCAGAGAAATTCTCACACAACAGATAAAAGATCAATTTTCCAGTTGGATCAAAGATGCATTTGAGGAGGAAAGTCACATGAAGACAAGTGATAAAGAGAACAGGTTGATCTGTTAAACAGACATGAAGGTATTTCCTCATTAGAACAACTGTCCTGGATTAAGTCTTGAAATCTCTCTTGTTAGCCCTAAATGAAGCAGGGGCACTTTGCATTATTTCAGAGGTTTAGGACACAGCAATTCTCTGCTGCCCCTGACCAAGAGACTCCAGTTCAACTCACATTTCTCAGAGCTGAGGGAGTAAAGTGCACTTTTCAAGTGGAACTGAAAGCGGAACCAGGAAGTCCAGGGTGACTTTTACATGAAATCATAGATTAAATGATCAATAGGTATCAGCACAACATGGTCAGCTGCTGGTTATAGCCCTGAACAGGCAAAAGCTGATGTTGGAAGGGTGACATGAACTGAAAGCTGAATATTGATCAGCATCTGCAGGGGACAACTTACTGAAGGGGGCCTTAGCAAGTTAGGAAAGTGCCACTGAACGATCCTGTTGTGCCTCTCCTCCAGGAAATTGCTGCAGCATGTGGAGATGCTCAGAGCTAATTGAGCAGTACTTTATCCCTCAAGCTGCCTCAGGATTTCTCTAAGACTCCTCACTCAGTGGGCAGATCTAATATCTTTACTTCCTAAAATACCTTACCAATGAATAATCCCACTGCAGTCCTGGAGCTCACGTGTGGGTTAACATGCTCCATGACACAAGTGACTTGAATTTGGCATTTATTGATTACTCTGTATCCAAAATTCTTGTTAAAGTAGCAGGACATATCTCTGTTTTAATGTACTGTACCTTGCCCCTGAGACTTGCAAAGACACCAATTAAGTGTTTCTTACCTTGATTTTATGCTGACTCTACACAGGACTCATCTACACTATGAGATGGCATCAAGGGCCAGAACAGAGGCAGACCAGCTCCTTTTGTACTCTCTTTCCTGGACCAATCTATGATGTTGAGTTGTTGGGATGGATGCAAAGTCTCCCAGTTATGATTTGATTAATTCACAAAGGGGCAAAAGTTTGGAGGGAGAAGAAGTTAAAATTTAAAACATGGAGGTATCAAGTATTTTCACATTAGAGGTATTTTCGGGGGCCACATTCACACTGCCCACACACCTGAATTAACACAAACCCCAGCCCTTCTCTCCATGGCCAAACCTGCAGCACGTCCCTCTGACCCCAGCACTGCTCTGTGGGCAGTGGCCTTGGCAGTATTCACAACATGAAGTAGTGTAAGCATGGCCCAGAGAATCTGAAAGAACATTATTAAATGGAATGATCTATGGTGCAGAAGGTCAAATAACAGTTTTCTATAATTGTGCAACTATTTCAAGAGATTATTAAAAACTGCAGTCTGAAACACAAAATGCTTGGTTCCTGTGCTGCTCCCAAAAGGCCTTCCAGACACCTCCAACCTTCATCAACAGTCAAAACGAATGTTTCTTCTGTTGTCTTGATTAAAGCCTTCCATTTGCTTCCTCTGGGACTCTGAAAGGGCCCATCTTTGCATGCCCAGCTCTGCCAAGGCTGGAAGCTGTGTCAGTGCTGCCAACAACTCCCTGAACCACAGCCCGCAGTCCCGGCAGGACGACGGCCGGAGGCTCACATCCAGCTCCGAGAGTTCCTTGAATGCTCCTAAACCTTGGCAGAAGACAGCCCAGCCTTCATCAGAGATGTTGTTGTTATAACTCAAATCCAGCTTCTGCAATCTGGCTAAATGGCCATCTTGCCTCAGG